GCTGAAGAGAAAGTAACTCCCGACTGCTTCGGGTACGTGCCCGTCTTCTCATACTCAACCGCTTGCTGGGCCATCTTCATGCAGTCAACAGGAACAAGGCCATCCTCATGACAAATGCGTAAATCGAACTGGAGCTCGCGACCTTCGTAGTCCTTCATCATCTTCCTGAACTCCTCCTCGTCGTAGTCCTGCCCCTTGCGCGTCTGCCAGATCACGCGGATGTAGCCTCTGATCAGCTTCCCAACAGCGACATCGCCGACCTCGTCGTGAACGCTGGTGCGGGAGCGCTTCTCCTCGCGCAGCGTGAGTGTAGGGTCGGCCGAGAGGGGCCGGCGCTTGGCGGCTGGCCTCTGGCTCTGGTTAGCGGGCTGCTGGGCCATGCTATGCTTGGCGAAGGCATCAGAGATACGAACTGTCATCTTACCCACGGCGTACGCGGCCATGTCGACGGCCCAGCTCTTCTTGTGGCGGCAATCTTCACAGTTGCCACCGCAAGTCCGCTGATCCCACTCGTGATCGCACAGGTGGCCCGACTTATATTCGATGCCACGATCTCGAAGGCATTGCTTCACCCCGTGCGCTACTGCTACTGAACGGTGTCTACCCGAACGACAGATCAATATGATCGCGACGGATTCGGTGACCTTGCACTTCGCCAGCGCCTTGCCGATGTATTCAGCGATGTCTGGGAAGTGCTCGTTATCAGCTGCGGCCTTTAAGATGCGAGGGTGAACTCCAATGTGCTTGGTGGACTGAGGATCGTTCAGCTCCCGAGTGTCAACAAATATGAGCCTATCGAAATCGCCATGTTCTGGGCGTGCGGCTATCAAGGCTTCGCAGATAATTTGACCATCATGCCCAGCCGTAGATATCCCATAACTCTTGCCACGGTGCTTGTCGCGGAGGTACTCCGTCAACAGCTGGCTCCCCGAGGCATCAGGATGACTCTCGAAGTTCTCTAGGCCCATCGTGTAGACAGCGAAAGACTTGGCGCGTGGTCCTGTGCTGGGAGCAGCATCAGGCCTCTTGTCCTTGTGCAGACCCATGTCTGAGAACTTGCCGTGCTCGTCGTCGCTATGATCCAAAACGGTCTGACGCTGGGGGTCGGTATCGCCGATATCCTCCATGTTGCTCTGGGCCTGATATGATATGTGCAGAAAGGCGAATAGACCCGGAAATCCGATCCGAATCGAACTGATCGAGACGAATGACAAGGAGGCCTGAGCGGCTGCAGCGACACATCTCTATCTCGTCTTCCTGGTCCAGGATGGCGCGTCCGTCGGCGAGATCCTTGACGAGGCCGAGGGAGACTTGTGCCGGTAGCGACAGCAAGAAAGGCACATGATCTGAATCCTTCAACTGATGAGACTCGAAGCAACCGCTGACAACACCGCACGTACCCACAATGCGATAGGGAAAACACGTCTTGCCCGTCGTGGAACTGCTTGCCTGACCACCGATGCCACTGTACGATTTCCGCTCTCTGTGGACCCATTGTGCAAATCACCCTAGCTTCTCGTACTTGTCCTCTGCAATGAGGGCCCAAGCTTTTCCATGGCAACAAGAATTGCAACCTTCGTCCAGGGTAGCCCATGCACCATCATCCTTGAAGACGTCAACCAAACGAAGCTTTGATATCGCCGACGTGTCGGTCATTACTGAAGGTGCTGGTGTTGGTGCCATGAACGCGATGAGCTCATTATCTGCTGCCTCTTGCACACAGTCGGGTAGTAATGAAACCATCTCACTTGTGCTGATATCACCTGTGTCCTGACAGATCGACATAGCGCGCCTCGTGAACATCTTCATTACAACCTTCAGCTCCTCAGGAGATACGCGGCGGTCGCCCTCGATGACCTTCTCGATCGCCTCCGCCTGGATGTTCGAAGAGAGTTTGACCTTCTCCGCCGTGCTCTTCTTGTCCTCAGCGAGTGCGCGGGGCTGTTCATCGATGTGCGTCAAGCACTTGCAGCAGAACGTGCGATGAATGTCGGCAGTGCTACCCCGGTGGTCCACGAGATCGTGAGGACACTCATCCGGCTGATGTAGTGCCTCGTATCTCTCCTTCTTGGTCTTGTGACCGCAGTCCCTGCAGGTGCGGGCGATAAAGCGTGCCGATGAAGCAGACCCCGAGAAGCTGGTGCAACCACGAGCACAGGGGTGAGGCAGCGGCGGATCCGGCGGCTTCCTGCTTGAAGTCCCGCTGGAGCTAGCAGAGGGCATGGCGCTCCCGTCGGTGCGGCGGCCGGTGCTACCATCCTCCTTCTGGACAAAGTACTCATCGAACCAAACCAAGAAGTTCTTCAGCTCCAAACTCGGCTTCTTCACACCGCGGCTCCACGATACATATGCTGGGGTCATCTTCAGCACTCGGCCATAGGAAAGCCCACAATGCTGGCCTGTAGCGAACACCGTATCGCGCCCTGGAACAGGGGCCAAATCTGGCGTCTCGAACTCCTCATCCGATACAGAAGCCATCGAAAAGTTCTCTGGCCCGTCGGAGGCGTCGGTCGCCCTCGAGGCGGCGCTCGGGGCAGCAGCCCTCGAGGCCGAGGGTCTGCCTGGCGCGGCCTTGCTAGGCGCACGCAGGGCCATGAACCCGAAGTGCTCCTCGCCGGCCTCCGCTGAGGTCTGGGGGCTCTCCAGAGTCGCGGCCGCGCGCTCGCGCTCGGGGCTGGTTTGGGCCAAAGCAGCAGCGGTCCCCATGCAAGCCCTGCAAGTGTGCTCCTCTTCATGACCAGACAGCAAGCAACAGTGACCATCGCAATCCTTCCCCTCACAAGAACATGCCCTGCGACGCTTCGAGGAGTGAGGGGAGAAGGAAGAGCAAAAGGAAACCTTGCCCGAATGCGACATATTGCTACTACAAGTATGATGATGGATGGTGGATGATAAGGCAATGGTTCCTGTAGGCGCGAACTGATGATCGTCGCCTTCCTCGCGTAACTGAAGCTCTCGCTCTCCAGTGAACGCTGCACAGAGCCCGTCCTGGGTTTGCCCTTGCACTCAGGGTCCCCGGACCAGTGGCCAATCTCATGGCAGGTTTTGCACTTGGAACGTTTCTTGATCTCCTGGAGTCGCTTTTAACAATCTTCCAGGGTCGGTGCTCCCTTGCCACCGCCCTCGGGCGGCAGCGTAGTTCTCCAAGGTGTTGAGTTGTTGTGACCTTTGCCTTTGCTTTTACCTTTACGACCTCCCTTGGTGCCTAGGTTGGCGACCAGGTTCTCTCGGATTACTTCGGAAGCTTCGTCCTCCGTGTAGCCCGCTTTGACCATCTCGTCAAACACGTCTCCATCGAGCTCGCTCTCCTCCTGCACGGGTGACCAGAGAGCGTACGATTCCTCGTCGCCTCAAGTTTGGTCCTCCGTCTGCCCGTCTGCCATCCAGGCTATATCGGTCCAGGTCGTGTCGTCCCAGCCGTACTCTGGAGTGTAGCCAGACGCGTAGTATCCATAGGGACTAAGCTCCTCTGGATAGTGCTCCCCCTGCTCGTACCAACCGTCGTCGGTGGCGTGGAAGGCCTGGGGCGGCCTGCTGTACCGGGTCTTGCCATTGCCCTTGCTCCTGCTAGGGTAGCCGGGCCGATGCAGTGTCCACGACGAGGGGTTGGAGCCCTTACTCGACGGGTCTCCACCTTTGCCCTTTTGGCGGATGTGGATACGGCCGTGCTGGAGGATCAAGACATCCTTGATCTTGTCAAAGGTTGTCATGTTACCTGTGGATGTCAGCACCATCAGGTTTTCCGAGGGTGAAAGCCCTGCATGGTCTAACAGGGGGGATCCAAGCATGTCGTCACTCAACACAAGCTTCGGGTCCAACTTGGTGACGAGTTTCCACCAACGCTTCCTGCGGGAGATGTATGATACCATCGATTCACCGTTCTGCCTGGACAGAGGGCCGTAGGGCCTCTGACCTACCTGGAACAGGATCTTGGCTTCCTGAGCCTCTATAGGGAAGAGTGAAGCACGAATCGCCGTTATCAGCTGGTCGATTCCTTTGGGAGTCAGAAGCGCGTCCTTACCGATATCCATGGCCATATCGAACGCGTCGCCTCTGAGGCCTTCTACAACTTTGTTGACGGCTGCGGTGACAACATGTGGTTGGGGTTCTCCTGTCTCTGCATCTACAGCAGACAAAGCAGTACTCATACGCATCTCTGTGCGGAACTCCCATTCGTGAAAGTTGTTCACGGTGCCATCATAGATGTAGGAGCCACCCTTCGTCTCCGACTGAGTCAACGCGTCGGCGTTCGACCGATAGCGAAGGGAAGACAACGCCATGGCGGCAAGGAAACAATCCCCTCGTAAGGGTGGATGCCGAGTGCAAAGAAAAGGTGAGGAGCTCTCCTCGCGAGAGGACGAACCCTGCGCAGTGGTACGATGCCGAAGATCGTGTAGCAGCTCCGCTGCCAGTGTGATTGATGATACGTTTTCAAGCCAAGGCAAAAGGGGCCCCTAAGAGCCAAGCGGCGGCGAGTGGCGTACGAGCGTGTCATACACACACTATATATCACACCTGTTTTCTTCGGCCGACAGAGGATCGTGGCACTCGGGCGATCGGGGTTCGAGGTTCCGGCGGATCATGGATCCAGAGGATGCCTCGAGCCGCCGCGGCGACCATCAGCGGGGCGAGCTTCGGGGAGTTAGGGGCCTGGTTTTTTCGGCCTCGAAGAGGAGGAAGAGAAAGAGGTCCTTGTCTTCACACATACCCGGAGAGGTCCTTGGCAGTCCTCGGAACATGTCCCTGGAAATCCGTAAAGACGCTTATGTCTCGAAGAACCCAAATGACCCGGAACCTCAATCCTCCTCCATCTTTGATGAGGAGGGGGAACGGATGAAGAGGGAGGGATAAGGAGGGATGGAGGAGGATGGGTAGACTGATGGCGTGATGATGATGCTGGTGGTGATGATGATGATGATGATGATGAGGACAGGGAGGAGGAGGGGGAGGAAGAGGAGGAGACGGATGAGAAGGAGGAGGAGGAAGAGGAGGAGGAGGAGGATGAGGAGGTGTAAGGAAAAAGGGCAGATGTTGTTGTTTGAACCTCAACGGCTACATGCCACCAACGAGGCACGAATCTGGCATTCCTCTTCCTCGCGTTCTGCTGGCGATGCTTGCTTTTGCAAAGGTAAGCCCAGGCAATCCTCCCAGCTCCTGATTCCTCCGGAGGAAAAGGCGGATAGAAGAAGGGTGGATGAGGAGAGGGAAGGAGGAGGACGATGATGATGATGATGATGATGATGATGATGATGAGGAGGAAAAACAGGAGGATGAGGAGGAGGAGGCAGAGGAGGCGGAGGAGGAGGAGGAGGAGGAGGAATAGGAGGAGTAGGAGGAAGAGGAAAACGAATATGAGGAGGCTGAGGATGATGATGATGATGAGGAGGAGGAGGAGGAGGAGGAGGAGGAGGACAAAACATGAGGACCCTGACAACCGACATCGCGTCTTTTCATCCCCCCCCACATCCTGTGTGGGATTCTTGTTATCTCTGCGCACCTCCGCGCAGGATGTCCTCACACCCCCTGTCCTCTTCTCCCTTCGCACAGTCACTCACGCACTCATTCATCGTCATCATCGTCGCCATCATTACGATCACCACTCAGTCACACATTCATTCACCCACCGACCCACCTTCTCACCCACTCACTCCCATCATCGTCATCAGCAGCACCATCCTCGCTCATTCACCCGTTCATTTACACATTCGCTCACTCATCACTCGCTCACTCACTCACCCCCGCACTGGAGGAAATATCCGGCGGGAACCTCATCTGTGAGTGGATTGCAAGGAAGTCTCAGGCGGCGGCCCACTCACTGCCTATGGGTCCCGCGCCCGACGTTTTCAATCCGAACGCATCGTCGGAAACTTGAAATTGTCGTCATTTCTGGGGTTCCTCAGGCTGAATGCTGAGAACAGAGCCTTGTCTGTGGGTGAATTGCGTTAAAATCTTAAGCGGGAGCCCCCCGCCTATGAGCCACGCGCCTCGTGTTTTAAACCCGAGCGGGTCATCGGAAACTTGTAACTGTCGTCGCTTTTGGGCTCCTCGGGCCTGAATCTTGACGAAGTCTCAGGCGGGAGCCTCGTCTGTGAATCTATTGCGAAAGAGAAGCGGGGACCCCCTCTCTATGGGAACCCCATCTCCATGTTGGACGACGCTCCGACGACTGCGCGAGGGACGAGGACGGTGGCCGCACGGGCGTGTCGGACGACCGTCATGTTCTCCCGCGCCACGTGCATGCGGAACATGCTGATCCTGCGGCCGCCCCCCGCGCGTTCTTGGACAGAGGGCCGCCGGCGTCCCTGCGAAAGGTGCTCACGGAGTTCGGCAAGGAGCGGAGAGCTCCAACGCAGAGACGGAGCAGCTCGCGGCAGAGTTGGGCTTCGCGCTGCCGCCCGCCTGGGCCGCGACTAGCTCGGTGCCTGCGGGGTTGTCCCAACGACCTGGCCCGCGGGATGCCCCCAACGGCTGCGCGATGTGACCATTCGATAATGCGCCCGTGCTGGCCGAGGCGGCGACGGCGCCGAGGAAAACCGACACGCGCGCTTTTGCAATAGAGAGTGAGGGGGGGAGAAAGCAGGAGGGCGAGGAGGGGGTGACGTAGGGAGCGGAAGGAGGGCCTGCGCAAGCGCAACGAGGAGCATGATGCAGAGGAGACAGCAAAGACGCCTCACCAATCACGAAGACGACGATGAGGGACCTTTCCAGACTAGCCGGAAAGATTCTCATGTGGGCTACTACCGTTGGAACATTTTGTTTCACAGCGTGGCTGCCCAAGTGTCTGGACCTCTTGCTTGGGACCCGCCCGTCATCCTGCATCGTCTTCTAACGGTCCTGGGGTTCCGCAGAGGCACCCGGAGGCCGACCACTGCACAAATCTTCAGTCGTGATTCCTTTACGACGCGAGCATCGAGTCTGGGGAGGAAAAGGGGAAGGGACGGGGGATGATGATGATGCTGATGCTGATGCTGCTGCTGATGATGCTGCTGATGATGATGCTGATTATTGATGAGATGACGAAGATTAAGATGAAGCTCAAGCTGAAGCTGATGATGATGCTGCTGATGACGATCATGAAGATTATGCTGCTGCTGATGATGATGATGATGATGATGATGATGATGATGATGATGATACTGATACTGATGATGATGATGGTGATGATGATGATGGTGATGATGATGCTGATGATGATGATGATGATGATGATGATGATGATGCTGATGATGATGATGATGATGATGATGATGATGATGATGGTGGCGCTGCTGGTGCTGATGCTGCTGCTGCTGCTGCTGATGATGATGATGATGATAATAATGATGATGATGTCGATGCCGATGCCGATGCCGATGCCGATGCTGATGCTGATGCTGATGATGCTGCTGCTGATGATGATGGTGATGATGACGAAGAGGAGAGGAGGTGGAGGAGGTGGCGGAGGAGGAGGAGGTGGAAGAGGAGGAGGAGGAGGAGGAGGAGGGGAGGAGGAGGAGGAGGAGGAGGAGGAGAAGGAGAGGAGGAGGAGGAGGAGGAGTTGGTGGAGGAGGTCGAGGGGGTGGAGGAGGAGGAGGTGGAGGAGGTGGGGGGAGGAGGAGGAGGAGGAGGAGGAGGAGGAGGAGGAGGAGGAGGAGGAGGAGGAGGAGGAGGAGGAGGAGGAGGAGGAGGAGGAGGAGGAAGAGTTCCTCCTCCTCCTCCTGCTCCTCCTCCTCCTCCCTGCCCCCTGCGCTGGCAGGCCTCCTGCCCGCCCTGCGCGTGCCCTGGGCGCCGCATCGGCTGCGGGACATGGCGGCCGCCGCCGTGCCCTGGCGGCCGGCGGGCGCCCCGCGGCGGCGGGCCCCGCGGGGCCCCCCCCCGCGGGGCCAGTCTGGGCGTCTGCCTTGTCGCTGTTCGCAGACGTCCCGAACGGCCTCCATCCTACCTCGAAGGTTCCCGCGGCGGGCTGGGAGCAGCTCATGGCGTGCGTCGCGTTCGGGGAGCAGCCCCAGGACCAGTCAGCTGGCACCGGGGCCGCAACAGGCGCTTTCGCGCACGCGGCCAGGGCGCCTGTCGACTTCGACTGGCGTGGATGTCGCGGACATCCCGTACGGCCTCGGCGCTATCATGGAGGCTCCCGCAGCGTGACCCGGGGCGCGTGCCGCGTGTTGTCCGTGGGCTAGTCCTCTGGCACTGTCGCGCGCCTGACGGCAGGGCTGGGCTGGAGTTGGCCTCCCCTCTTCCCACTCGCCATTCGGCGAGGCCTGCACCGGCAGGCGCCGCACTTGCGTGACCTCTATCTTCCTCCCCTCACCTTAGCGTCCGCGCTTCGCGCCTCTCGGGCAGGGCAGGGTTTCGGTCTGGACTTCGTCCGCCCCCGAGGGCTCGTCCTCTCGCTAGAACCTGAGCGCGCGCGGGGGGGTTCGTGGGGCGGCTTTCGTGTTTCGGCCTTGCTCGCAGGACTGTGCTTCGTCTGCGATCGCGCCGCGGCTACCCACGCTGCAGGCGCCTCTTCGCCGTCGTTGTTGTCGTCTTCGTCGTCGTCGTCGTCGTCGTCGTCGCCGTCGCTGTCGCCGTCGCCGTCGCCGTCGGCGTCGGCGCCGGTGTCCAGCCTGCCGGGCTTCCCTCGGCCTGCCGGTCTTCCCGCTTGCCGTTGGACTCTCTTGGGGCCCCTCTGCGCCCGGAGGTAACCGTGACTCGCCCCCGGGCCCCTGGTGGTTTTCTGTCTCTCACTTTTGTGGGGGAGCTGTGACTCTGTCTGGCACCTCGCTTGTCCTCTTCCTCCGTCCCTCTCTTCCGGTTCGCGGGGCCTCTGTGCCTCTCCGCGTTACTTGCAGGTTCGTGTTGTCCTTTTGCCCTGTGCTTTTGAGGACACCTCCGGGGCCTCCGCGGACCTTCGAGCTCCTGTGTGTGGTGTTTGCTTTCGTTTCCCGGCCGCGTGGCCGTTACCTTCGGGCTAGCAGCGTGAGGGCGTGTGTTTGTACATTCGTTCCCTTTCCAATCCGACGGGCTGGCCTCCCCCTTCGGAGGTGCCGGCTGTTGCGGGGCGCCGGCTGTTTCAGGGCCCCCCCCTCGTGCCACTGTTCGGATTCGTCTCCCAATTCTGTCTGGGCGCTGCGACCTTTTCCGCCGCAGGCCAGCCGGCTTCGGTGTGTGGTGCAAGGTTTCGTGTCCAGGCCGAGTGGCCGAGAAAAAGTGTCCCCCGTTGTTTTCCCGCCTCCCCCTTTCGGTGGTGCCGGCTGTTGCGGGGCGCCGGCTGTTTCGGGGGCCCCCCTCGCGCCACCTTTCGGATTCGGCTCCCAATTCTGTCAGAGCGCTGCGACCTTTTCGGCCGCAGGCTGGCCGGCTTCGGTGTGTGGTGTAAGCTATCGTGTCCAGGCCGAGTGGCCGAGAAAAAGTGACCCCCGATGTATTACCGTCGTGCCCCTCTTCCTCTTGCGTCTCAGCGTGCCTCGGATGCTTTCCCGCCACTTGGCGGCGCCTGCACTTGCAGGTTGGCCCCTGCAAAAGGCGAGGGGGGCGCACTTGCGACCATCGACCCGGTGCACGCCCGGCACTACAACTAAGTCTTCTACGTGATGTCGACCGTAGCTTGGGCTCGACTGCCAGCCCCCCTTGCGGCCTTGTCTCCCTCCCCCTCCTCCCGTCGTCGTCGCTGTCGTCGTCGTCCTTTTCCTCGTCCTCCTCCTCGTCCTGCTCCTCCTCCTCCTCCTCCTTCCCTTCCTCCTGGCGACTGGAAGGAAGCCGCGGGATGGGCCTGCTTTGTGATGCCCTGCTATGGGGTTGCCCCAGGGAAGGTGAATCTTCGGGCCCAACCAGACGGTCTGGGCGAACTAATCCTGCCCCCCCCAGGCACAGCATAGTTTCGGCCACGTTCGCCGGACAGCCTTCGGCGCAGGAAGTGGCGTTGCCACCGCCCCCCTACCCCTGAGCCGCCGCACCGTTTCCGTAACACGACCGAGGTTGCGCACCGCGTCCGTGACACACACGCTGTCTTCGAATCCGGCCGTCCGAACCTGGTTTTACTTTGTTGCGCCCACCGTGGGCGGATGAACGTCCAGACCGTTATGCTCGGTCACCCTCTCTCCTCCTCCCTCCTCTCCCCTGCTCGTCCCTCACCTGGCTGCCCCCTCCCCGGGGCGTCTCCTCCCGCCGCCCTCCTCCCTCTCCCCTTTTCCCTCGCCTGGCTGGTGGTGGTGGAGCTGTGGCGGGCAGGGGGAAGACGACGAGGATCCCCGTGTCGATGCGGCCAGTTGGCAACACGCGCATTTGCGCTCGCGCACTTGCGCTCCGCCATTTGGCGACGTGGCAGGCGCGGCTCCCAGGGGGCCCCTGCGACTGTCTCGCATGAAGCGACACCCGGCCCCCATGGGAGCGGGCACGCGCGCCGGGCATTTGCCCCACTGCCAGCGCCCTACTCGGGACTGCGTATGCCTGCCCTTTGCCCGGGGCTTCGGCACCAACACGCCCCACTTGGGTGCGCCTCAACCAGAACCAGGAGAAGGAGAAGGAGAAGGAGAAGGAATGGAAGAAGATTTGCACGCCGCCCGCGGAGCCGGCGGAGCACCTCGCGGAGGTGCGCGCCGTGGTCCGCGGAGCGCAGGGCGCGGTACCTCTCCAGCAGCGCCTGGCCCTCGGTCGGCGGCCGCGGGGGGCCGTGCTCGGGCGCCTGCTGGGGCGGCGGCTCCACGAAGGCGCCCAGCAGCAGCCTTATTTCGGAGGCATCTTTGAAGTCGGGCGTGTCCCTCTGCAGGAGGAATGTTTCAAAAGAGCACAAAATAGTATGGGGCCGATCCTTTGAGTGTTGTTGGATGTTTTTGGAGCGTTGTTCGACTCTATTTTATGGTTCGTCTCAAATCTGCCTGTAGGAGGACACGCCCGACCTAAAGCAACAACAGCAACAACAACAGCAACAACAACACCAACAACACCACCACCAACAACACCAACATTAACACCAACACCAACAACACTAACAGCAATACCAACAGCAGCAACAACACCACCAACACTACCAACAACACCAACACCACCACCACCAACAACAATAACACTTTCAAACATGCTCGCTCCTGTCTGTCCACGTGCCGGTCAAAGCGTGTATCCCAAACCCTCGGTGTCCGCCGTCTTCGTCTTCGATCGTGCCCCCTTGGGGGTATACCTTCCTTACCTGCCACGTGTATTCAACGCAGCCCCTAACACAGGGAAAGAAGAGGATGGATGGAAGGGAGAGAGAGGATTCGCAGGGTGGGGGCCAGAAGCAAAAAGCGCGCGGCATAACCAGACGGGCAAACTGGGCGGGCCAGACCCCAACTGGCGGGTCGGGAAGACTGGCCCAGGCGGCCAGGTCGAGCATGCGGGCTGCTGAAGCGCGCGGCCTGCGTGAACTGCGAAGCAGTTTTGAGCGATAGCGCGACTCTCATGTACATCGTGAGGAAATCCACGGCGAGAGCGTGATCGCTGAGTGTCGAGGGCGCAGCGTCTGTATGAAACTGTATGAATTGACAGGTCCCACGCGAGAGCGCGATTCCTGCGTAAATTGTGAGGAAGTCCCGCGCGAGAACGCGACTTCTCAATAGACTGTAAGGAAGCATCTGGCGGGAACCGTAGTTAAACTCTTATTTTTACAAAACAATTATTGTTGATCCCCCCTGCGGTAACCATTGTATGCTTGAATTGAACTGGGGTGTCAATAACACCCCCTGGTTTCAACTCTAAGTTCGAGCAACTGAGAAATTAAGGTAACTTCGCGCCCGGCCTGCAAATCCTGCAACTTCGCGGACGGGGCCAGGCTGACACATTGAGTTGCAAAGGCATTTGCACATGAATTTCTGGAGTTGCCGGGGAAATTCTCGGAATCTTGGGTGAATTTCTGGAGTTGCTGGAATCTTGGGTGAATTTCTGGAGTTGCTGGGGTTTTCTTGGGTGAAATTGGAGTTGCTGGAGTTGACAGGATGACTTGGAATCTTGGGTGAATTCTGATGGGACTCGCCGGGGACGCGCCCGCACCAGGAAGGGACATGGTGTTCGAGAGGGACTTTCGATCGGACGTCCTGGGAACAGAAGGGGTTCGGGCCATCCGTGCCAGGAAGGAACATGTAGCTGGAGAGGAATTTAGATCGGAAATCGTAGAGTTAAAGAATTCAGGCCATCCGGGGCCAGGAACGCAAGTAAAGTTAGAGAAGAATATAAATCTGAATTCCTAGAGTTAGAGAAGATTCAGGCCATCTGGGGCCAGGAAATAACATGGAATTACAGAGGAGTTTAGATCGGAAATCCTAGAACTAGAAAGGATTCAGGCTATTGGGGCCCAGGAAGCAGGATGGAATTCGAGAGGAATTTAGATCGGAAATTCGAAAGTTAGAAAAGGTTCTGGCAATCCGGGGCCAGAAAGGAAAATGGAGTTAGAGCGGAATTTAGATCGGGAGTCCTAGTATTAGAGAGGACTCAAGCCATGCGGGGCCAGGAAAGAACATGGGATTAGAGGAATTTAGATCTCAAGAAAGGATTCTTGCAATCGGGGGCCAGGCAGGAAAATGGAGTTAGAGCGGAAATTCGACCTCAAATCTAAGAATTACAGAAAGGATTCTGGCCATCCGGGGCCCAGAAGGAAAATGGACTTATAGAGGAATTTAGATCGAAGTCCTACATTTAGAAAGGATTCAGGCTATTCGGGGCCAGGAGGCAACGTGGAGTTCGAGAGGATTGTAGATAGGAAGTCTTAGAGTTAGAGGGGATTCTGGCCTTTCGCGGCCAAGAAAGAAAAATGAGTTAGAGAGGAACTTAGATCGGAGATCCTAGAATTAGAAAGAATTCAGGCCATCCGGGGCCAGGAATAAAAATTGAGTTTGAGACAAATTTACATCGGACATCCTAGATTTAGAAAGGATTCTGGCCATCCAGGGCCAGGAAGATAAATACAAATATAAAGGAATTTAGATCGGGAGTCCTAGATTTAGGGATGATTCTGGCAATCTTGGGCCAGGAATGAAAATGGAGTTACAGAGGAACTTACATCGAAATCCTAAACTTAGAAAGAATTCAGGTCATCTGGGGCCATGGAGGAGAATGGAATTAGAGAGGAATTTAGATCGGGAGTCCTAGGAGTTAGGGAGGATTCTGGCCATCTGGGGCCAGAAAAAGAAAATGGAACTAGCGAGAAATATAGATCGGGAATCCTAGAAATAGAACGTGGAATTATAACGACTTCTGGAAATCCGGGGCCAGAAAGGAAAATGGATTTAGAGCGGAAGTTAGATCGGAAATTATAGAGTTAGAAAGGATCCTGGCCATTCGGTGCCAGGAAGGGAAGTGACATTAGAAAGGAATTTAGATCGCAAAACCTAAGAGTGAGGGAGGATTCTGGCCATCTAGGGCCAAGAATTCAGATCGAACGTCCTCAACTTAGAAAGGATTCAGGCCATCTGGGGCCAGGAAAGAATTAGACAGGAATTTAGAATAGGGAGTCCTAGAGTTAGAGAGGTTTCTGGCCATTCGAGGCCAGGAAAGAAGATGATATTAGAGAGGATTTCCGATCGGAAATCCTAAAGTTAAAAAGGATTCTGGTCATCCAGGGCCAGGAACGAAAATGGGGTTAGAGAGGGATTCAAATCGGAAATCCTGGAAATAGAAAGAATTTTGGCCGTCCGGGGCCGGGCAACAACGTAGAGATAGAGAAGAATTCATATCGGAAAACACAAAAATAAAAAGGATTCTGGCCATCCGGGCACAGGACGGAACATTGAATCAGAGAGGAACTTAGATCGGAGATCCTAGAATTAGAAAGAATTCAGGCCATCCGGGGCCAGGAATAAGAATTGAGTTTGAGGTAAATTTACATCGGACATCCTAGATTTAGAAAGGATTCTGGCCATCCAGGGCCAGGAAGATAAATGCAAATATGAAGGAATTTACATAGGAAATCCTAGAGTTCGAGAGGATTCTGGCCATGCGGGGCCAGGAAGGAAAATAGAGTTAGACAAGAATTTAGATCGAAACCTTAGTTTTAGAAAGGATTCTGGCCATTCGGGGCCTGGAAGGAAAATGGAGTTCGAGAGGAATTTAGATCGGAAGTTCAAACGTTAGAGAGGATTCTTGCAATCCAGGGCCAGGAAGGAGAATTGAGTCAGAGATGAGTTTAGATAAGGAATCCTAGCATTGGAAAGGATTCTGGCCATT